TACCCTACACTTCTGTGAGTTCTGTAGCACACACGGTACCCCACAGAGATTACCCTCTTGGTCTGTATACAATACCCTAACACTTCTGTGGGTTCTGTGACGGTCGTGCCGCAATACCCTACACTTCTGTGAGTTCTGTGACGGTTGCACCACAATACCCTACACTTCTGTGAGTTCTGTAGCACACCCGATACCCCACATAGGTTACCCTCTTGTTCTGTATACAATACCCCAACACCTCTGTGAGTTCTGTGACGGTCATGCCACAATACCCTACACTTCTGTGAGTTCTGTAGCACATCCCGTACCCTACAGAGATTACCCTCCGGTTCTGTAACAGATCCAATACCCCACAGACATTACCCGTACCCTACAGAACCTAACCTTGGAAAATTGCACTACTTTTCCGTTGCGTTAAGGACGAGCCTTACGCGTTTTACGGCGACGAAAGGGGCTTACCGCCAGGTTTGTAGAGCCAGCCACCGCTAGAATGCCCTACACCCGGACACGTCAACATCAATCCACGGCACCACCCAGCAGAAGAGCAACAGGGCCTCCGACACGCTAATTCTTTCGGATTGGCCATCTATGTGATGCTGGCCGTCAGCGCGGCTGCCGTCCTCTGATTGTTGAGCTCGTCTACCTTTGGGCAGGTGGTGGTCAAAGATGGGAGTCGCGACCGTGAAAAGTGAGCTGGCAAACTGAACAAATCGCAAGCAACACCCAGGTTGCGACACTCTGCCCTGCGCCTGTTGTTGCTGAAAATTGAAAACAGCAGGCCGGCCGGGTGGATAGGATCATTCTAAGTGTGGTATCCTCTGTGTCGGGTGCTGCTCAATGCGCTTCTACGGCTGCTCTATGGTGAGCAACTCCAAGTCAACCTGTTGCGTGCCGAGCAAAGTGTGTATACAGGGGAGGAAACGTACTTTTTGCGATGACATCACGAATAGAACAAGCGAAAAAAAGTCGGGTTATCTTTTCACTGTTCCGTGGAAAATTGCACTACTTTTTCGTTGCGTTAATAACGAGCCTAAGAGCCCCCATTTCAGAAAAATCCCCAAGAAATCGGAGCCCTTGGGATATTCATTTCCAAGAAACACGCGCTGCCCGGTGCTACAGAGGTTCGTTGTGGCTACATTGAGTACATGCGTCTGTGCTGTACCGATTACGTCGAAATCTTGGATCCTGTTCTTACATAGGAATATGCATCCTTTGCTCCACGGCGGTGACGACGACGTAGCAGCCCGACCTTCGACCTTCGGCCCACATTGTTTCCTGGCGGGCCCAACTGCACGCGCTACGTATGCCCACCGGCACTCGCCCGAGACTCCACGTTTTTGTGAGGACGAAACGTACGGAGTACCACAAGTGTGTCGCCCAGCTCTGAACCGACACACGATTCGCCGCAGGCGGGGGGCACGTGCACGTACAACCTCGGCTGTGCCACTTGTTGCTGCCGATCTGCCGATGGTCTAAAAATATAGAGGCAGGCAATGGCCACAAGCGTGCTCACGTTGTTGCACCAAGTTTCGGCGACGCAAGCCGGAATCAGCAGTATGTAGCAAAAGACCTATGGACGGATTTTCTACGGGCTGATGGCTCACGAGATCGCAGAAAATGCAATCGTGATGATCTCGTGAGCCTAGGGCCATTTTTTCGAGGTTTCTCTGCCCGTAAACCTCGCCTCGAAGCGAGACTTGCACCTACCGACAGCCCTGTGTTGCGAGGGCCCTCCCGGCGTGCCGCGCGCTCTCGGGGCGGGCTGCGTGCAGCGCTAGCGAGGGCAGAAAGTCGCGTCTCCGACATCTACCATGGATCCACCAATCACACCCCGATTTCTTGACAGTGCAGGCCATTCATACATACATTCGGCAAGCGGCGGACGTGGATTGTGCGTGTGCGCTGGCGACACACCACACACCGTACCACACACGACAACCACGCCACCAAGGCTGCGCATGAGACGAGACAAAGTACTCTACTGCTGTATTATGGTGCGTCTCCCTTATGATCCAGGCGAAAGGCGAGGGGGTTAGCGGCCGGTGCCGTGCGCACAGCTGTCTGCAAAACTACACCCGCCCGAGATTTATAAAATGACAAAATGACATGCGTTGTTCCTCCGTTTCATGGAAGTGCTTCTTTTTTTCCGGAAATATCTTCTGGCTACTATCTATACCGCACTACAGCAGCAGTGTTTTGTAGAGCGACTGCAGGGACATGCTCCGCATCCTACCAACACACACCAACACACGAACTTCTATGCATACAGTCATCTGACTCCCAAAACCCTCTGGCAGAACATATAGGAAAACTTCTGCTGCTGTGGGTTGCCATTTTTTCATAAGTCGGCAGAAAACGTTTTCTAACTTTCTCTGCTTTTGCTTACACACAACGTGCTGCAAAAAACTACCGTACGTGATTATTTGCGCTGCTTTTCCTCGCCTTCGGTACTCAGCCCCGATTCTCACCACCGACGGCTGTACATCAGATCACATACGAAGGCCACACACGCTGTAAGTAGCGAAATTTACTCAGCTACAACGTCTCGCTGAGGGGGTGGGTAGCACATGGGAGAGAGAGCGGGAAGAGAGAGAGGAAAGCTGTTTGCTTGATGTGTCTTTCTTAGTTTATTTGTTCGACACATTCCCCCCCCGTAACCCGTCTCGTGTCTTACCATTACTAGAGCATTTTAGGGGTCGCTCCTCTGTTTTCTTATTGAGACGTTTCTTCTATGGTGTGGCCCAGGTTGAGCTATTATTATGTTTTTATAACCCTAATTTCCTACTTTTTCTTGGAGTATGAGCCTTTGTTTCTGAAGAACAAGCTTCTTCAATTACATATTCTGTCCTCCGGCCGTCGCATTACATATTAATATTGTCGTTGTGCGTCTCTGCTCTGCTCTTCGGACAAACAACAACTTTTTCCCTCTTCGCAGCATTTCTTCTTCGTATCTCTCATTTCAAAACTCCACCAGCACACACTTGCCATCGCCATTCAACCTATACGAGCGTAGCGGCGACCGCGAAGCGGTACGCCGCAAAGCGGTACGCCGCAAAGCGCCCTTGCAATACATACATGTAGTATGCGTTTTCGCGCCGATAGTTTTTAAGCCTGAATTCAGTGAACGTTACGGGTGTAGGTTGAGACAATAACAGGGTAACGAAACCGTACTTGAACTATTATCACAAAATCCTCGTGAAGGCGATCCGCCGGAATCACAACGCCTCAACACCTACAGAGAGCGTTAGGCCTAGGGTTATACAAGCTCGTCTCCTCACCACTCTCTGGGGTCAGGGCGAATGTGGATCAAAGATGTTAGATTCGCGTGGAATAGGTTCCTCGTGTCGTGTACTCCCAGACATCTTCGTCCACAGAAACACGTTGCTGTGCGGCTGAATACTGTTGTCTGCTTGAGAGTGAGGGGGAGGGGGGACGTACTCTTATGTTTTGCATGCCTTAGAGGTTAGACCATTGACCACGCGTCCTCGAGAGGACGGATCAGTGTTCCCACAGGACCGATCATTGATAGCCAATCGTTCCTGCCGGTGAGAGTGGGGAGGGGCGATGTAAAGCCACGCCACCGGGGCAACTCTAGCAAGGAGTTAGGTCGTCTGTTCGAAGGATACTACCCCTGGGACCTCCTTCTTTATCCACGCCCCTTCCCGCCCCGGTTTCTCTAAAGCTCGCACTGTCTGTCCAAGTCGAACTCGTGCACATCTGCCAACAATACTTGAAGAAGCAAGGCTTGAAACCATAGATACGTGTAGCTTCAATAATGCCGAGACTTTTGGTTGAAGGCAGCGCAGAGAAGAACAATACCACCAACAACGTCCTGTTCACTTTCAGGACTCGAAGCATTCCACGCCGGCGCCATGTTGTCTTGAGGATACAATGCATTCGCAGAAAGCATAAGCGCAGGTCCTCTCAGACCCAAACCTGGCACAGAAATTTGAAACGACTGTTCTTGCAATCTGACCGTGTCCATCCCGGAGAGCTCAAAGTTGTTGTTAGCTCAAAGTTGTTTTTTCCACACCATGGGGCGTGCTTTGGGGGGGGGAGGGTCGTCTCCCCATCCCTCGTTCACCTCATGGCAGGTTACTACGATATGCCGATCGATGGAATTGCACCGCAACGGAAAGCCAACTTTTCCTTTGCGCAACGCACTCCACGCGAGAGCTGCATTTTCCGTTCCTGCGCGCGCCCTTCCCCTTGCGGCGCAGATGGTAACCGCCGAGCGAGGCACGCCGCAGCAGGCAGCACGACCGCGAAGAAGATGCAAGCCTGCTGCTGCTGCTGGTACTGCTGCTGCTGACAGGGCCAGCTTCGGCGCGAACGGCCGCCGCCGTAGCACAAGCACACTAGCTGCGGTGTTCGTGCTGCTGGTGGCCTCACTGCGGGCCCCGTCGTGCCAGGGATTCGTGGCCCCGCTTGCCACGCGAACGGGCATCAGAGGATGGACGGGCATCAGAGGAGGCCCTTCTCTTGCCAGGGTGGTGGTTGACAAGGAGGTTCGAAGAATGGTGTCGCGTGTTTTTTTAGGGTACATACATGTGTTTTTATTTTTGTGGGCCGTACCGTTGGGTGTACCACGTAAACGTGCCTGCCGACATGCATTGTAGTTTTTGTGCTTTGGCGAATCTTTTATTCTAATCACTTGATAATGGAACCCACACAACGTTACTGTCGTTTTTGCGGTGGTTATCATTCTACGTGCCTTGCTTTACTAGAGGCTTTCTTGGTATGTTCGGTGACTGCAAGCCATTTTTCATGTGGAAGTCTCTGTTTCCGCGGTACAAAACGACCTGTATCAGACTGGAGGGCAAGCGACGCGAGGGTGCTGTTTGGCACACTTGCTGAGCTTGGAGCAGCCGGTGCATGAACCAACGATGACAATGGTTGTTCTTCTTGGTGTATACTTAAGTTGACCATGGACGAAGTTATCTGTGATACCCCAGATCTCCTCGTTGTTGGCTCACACTCAAATCCACCGCCTTCTTGTTTTCGTGAACCGTTTGTCTTGCCCTCGCAGAACTGGAGCACGTCCCTCCTCGTGTACTAGGCAGCCGTCCTTCTCTGATGCAGACAGGCGTCCTTTTCTAATGCCATTTCAACAAGCAAGAACAACAACATTTTTTCCTTGCAAGCAAAGAAAGGATACATTCATACTCCGGAGTAATCAATATTGTCTCCCTCCACCCCTTCCTTGGAGCAGGCAAGAACTACTAAGCTCGGCAGGTTAAGGGTCCCCGGGGGGGGGCACAGTTTGACTATGTCGGCGGGGCTGCCCGCAGCGGTAAGCTCGATGATCAACCCAGTGGTGGTCAAGGCCTCCACCAGGGCCGTGAGCGAGCTCCTGTGCTGCTGCGTGCTTGGGGTCGTGGCTGCCAAGAAGGGGATCTTGACCCCGGTGAACGTGGCGGCTCTCTCCAAGGTCCGTGCCCTCCTTTCTGCGGGCCATCTCGTGCCCCATGTTGATCTATCATTAACGCGGTGTGTAGTAGCTTAAGCTCATGGCCGGTGTCCATGTTCGCATGAAAACTATGCTACGTATGTACATGTACCCGCGACCGTAATAGTTTGTTCGCCGTCTTCTGTCTGTCCTGTTATTTTGTCCTCTTTCCGTCAGATCGTCTACGGAATTTTCCTGCCCTCGTTGCTCATGGTGAACGTGGCCAAGACTTGCGTCAGCCAGTCCGTGGCCTCCCTCCTTCCCATCCCGGCGTTCGCGGGCATCCAGGTAGCCCTCGGCCTGGCCATATCGGAGGTGGCCATGCGCCTGCTGAGGATTAACCCCGATACCGAGGCGGGCCGCGAGGCGAAGGTGGGGAGGGGCGCGCAAGCTGTTTCTTGATGAACCTTTGTGGTGCTTTGGATATGAGCTCGATCTGCGTGCCCCCTCTGGGGGATACGTGTTTGAGTGTACAGTGCGTGGGGGGGGGGTGTACGAGAGGACCCCTGCGAGAGAGTGAGACCACCCACTTGCCCGTGGGGCTTGCGTGTGGAGAATAATACATGATTGCCTTTTCCTCATCCGCCGCTCCTGAGACAACATGGTCCCCAGCCTCAACATCACCGCTGAGGTCGGCTGCGCCACGAACAACCTTCGTTTTCTGCTTTTGGTTTGAACCGGGGGTTCGTAGACGCAACGTGTGTTTTTACCTTTTCCGGGTTGGTTCTGCCTGGCCACCCTCCCTCGTGGCCCCCTTCAGCTACTTGCGCCGGCTTGGGGTTGATTGGATGCTCCTTCTAGAGCAGTGGGGGGATGTGAACGATGAGAGGTAGAAGGATGTTGTCACCAAGGAGAGGAACGAGATGGCGGGATACGGCATACATGTATTTGGTGTTCTGCTGTGCCTAAGGCAACGGGAAGGAACCAGTCGCCTACCGACGAGGTCGGTGATTGGTCAGGAACGTATTCGCGAAAATGGCTCTAAACTTGCACGGGGTTGTGGGTACCCATGAACGCAGAATGTTGGTTAAGCAAGAAGTATCCCTCTTATGTTTCGACTGGTAGGAACCGCCGTGCTTCGTGTCGAGAGGAACACATATTTTGGACGGTCGAACCACCAAGGCGGCAACATCCGCGTACCCCCTTCCCCCCCCCCGAAAGTGGTCGAACCACCAAGGCGGCAACACCTGCGTACCCCCCCCCCCCCCCCCCCCCCCCCCCCCNCCCCCCCCCTCGCCCTCGCCGTTGTGATGCTCGCGTACGCTTATCGAACGGCGGACTTGAAAAAACAGGTGTGCATGGCCTTCCAAAACAGTGGAATTCTTCCGCTGATTTTCCTGAACGCCATGTTCAGGGGGAGCCCCGAGTTGCTCTCGCGCGGCGTGGCGTATGCGAGGTGAGGTGCGGTACAGCGCTCTCTTTGTGTGTCGAGGAAGTCATGCCGTACCACGTGTTATCAGCTGCTCTGGGCGTTGCGTGTGCCCAGTTTGCACGGTTTCGCTCCGACGGTCTCGGACTTTCTGGTCGTCTTGTTGGAGAATTCTTTCACTACAGTCGTCCCCGCCAAATAAGGCCAAGGGGCCTCTACAAATATCTCTTCCAAGGGCAAGTCCGCAACAAAACTCTCAAAGGTGTGGATACATTATTTCCTTAATAGTTTCACTCAAGCGTTCTTTCTTTAAGCATGTCGTTGTTCACTGGAAGACGAAGGGCGACAACACTAAGGGAAGGGGTGTTCGAAGCACCCCAGGTAGTGCGCTTCATGGCACACACAAAAATCTTGCCGAGAAGTCTTTCCGCAATCTTGTTTCTTTTGTGTCGGATTACACCAATAAATTCAAATCACGAAAATATGTTCGGCAAGATTTTTGTTTGTCCCATGAAGCACACTACCTGGGTTGCATCGGCACCCCTTCTCTTGGTGTTGTCGCCCTTCGTCTTCCCGTCAACAACGACGTACTAACCTCGAAAAAAGCTTGAGTGAGAATTGTAAGGAAAGAACTTGTCCACACCTTTTGAGAGTGTTGTTGCGGACTTGCCCTTTGGCAGACTTGGTTGTAGAGGCCTCTTGGTTTGCCTCGTTTTTTGCCCACTCCCGGGTTTTCTTCAGGACGTGTGTCCTTATGCCGGGAAAGTGTTCTTGAAAAAGCACCCCCCACATCATTTTTTTTTTAAAATACAGTACATATATTACGACTTAGCAGACCACGCGCTGGCTCGAGGGGGGGG